AAGCTTTTTAGAAACAGTGACAACTTGCTTGCCTTTCTTCTTATTGCATGCCCCCTTCTTTTTAAAACCCTTTCCCTTTCGAACCATCAAAACCTCTTTCTTTGGTTCTTAGGGATGTTCTTTTCAGCATTGACTAGAATCCCATGCAGTTCAGTCAAAGTCTTTTAAGACTCATTCATATTAAAAGTCATCCTGAACTGATTAAAGTTGTTAGGCAATGAGTGGAGAATGATATCAGTAGCCAACTGTTGGCTAGACGTTTCATAATCTCAAAAAGACCCATGATTTTGAAACCATGCTGGCGAACTGATTCACCAGTTTTAATGTTACATTCCAAAATCTCCTTATTAGTCTCATACCTCTCAATGCTTTCCTAAATCGGAAACATGGCCTTAAGATCTTGCATAATGGTGTAAGCATCCTTGGTCTCAAACCTCTTTTGGAGGTCCGGTTCCATAGCTTCCACCATCAAGAAAGTGATTTAAGTAGACCTCTCATTAGCCTGCGTAGCACGACATTTTTCATGATTCATCAGTCACTACAGGAAGCCGGTTTTCTAAGACATCCTCTCTACTCTCCAACCTTAAAACAAGTCTTAGGGTCATTTCCCAATTGATGAAAATTTCTCCGTTCAGCCTATCCTTCTCAAGGAAGGGATGGGTGTTGAAATCTGAGTTGTTTTTGTTATGAGAAATGTTATCTATAAACAGAAAAAAGTCCAAGTTCAATCTATGTTTATAAAAGAACCTAAAACATGCAATGGTTTCTAAGTTACAAAGCACTCTATTGAATTTTAATGTACCAATTTGAATAAGTGATTCCAAGATCCTATCAACATGCATCATTAGTCAGACGAAGGCCTTATCTTAAAGTTATATTTTCAAGGTAAATAAACTCGTTACTAATTACAATATTTTGTAATTCTTTGTTAGACTGAAAAATATCACATGCTTACATGTCCCTTTGCTTCAAAATCCAAAATGCTTTTGATGATTTTGTTGAGGTTAACCAAATTAAGTGTGCAAAATTCGCAATTTTACCTCACCTCCCAAACTTAATAACAATACCCTGCGGAGGCATGTATGACCTTTTACTATTAATTAAGGGTTAATAAGTACTTTGTATTTGGAAAAGCAAACCTCAATATTAGTGGAACTTAAGTTCATTATGTTGTTATTAATTAGTGAACTCTAGCGCATTGATAGCAAACATACAATAAATTTATAAGCATTTTAAGAATAATAATAGAATTCAAAATTAAATATGAGCTACTATGGCCCCTAATCATAAGAACTAAGCTTATTTGGGCACCTCCTTGGACTTTTCATGGATCTCCATCCACCTTTGTCACGGGCCTTCTCATTTTGGGCTCTTCTTTGGATTAATTTAATAATTAAATAATTAAACTAATGCCTAATTAAAATTAAATTACAAAAATAATGAACGACAAGCAGATCGTATTTAAATTACAAAAATAAATAACGATACGCATATCGTATTATAATTTAAATCTTGGGCCATACTAGCCATTTATAGCAATAATATATCATATATATGAAAATGCCACATAATAATATCACATATTACACTTGCCAATAATAAAAATATCAAATATTCTCAATTATGTCAAGTGGATAAATCAATTAATTAGGAAATCCTAGAGAATAAATCGTATTGAAAAAACTGAAATCCTAACCACCTAAAAGATTATATCCCAAAAATTAAGCCAACCAACTAATTTTAATTAGATTAAAAAATCAAATTAGGTAATTATCTTATAATCAAGTCAAACAACCTTAATTGGAATTGCTTAAAATCCTCCCTAAATAAGTTTTGCAATATTATCCAAAATAAAATCAGAATCTAAATTAATTAATTAAATCAAAATAAATTTTTTTTAATTGAAAACAGGGGACTGCGAGAATGAGCAGCCTTCCCAACCACCACAGGAGCCGAGCCGAAGCCCAGCCACCGCAGTAGCCGGCCGCCGCAACCAGGCAGTCACCTAGCCAAAGCAGCACTAGCTGGTGCACCAAGCAGAAGCCCAACACCCAACCATTGAGTACAGAGCTAAACCGTGGCTGCTCTCACTCAACCTATTACCACACGCATTTTCGAATATTAACCATCTGACCATGCCATTAATAAAACATATGCAGCTTCAAAAGTTAACCTATAAGTGACAATAATTAGCATGTTTGTACTACTTTACTACGCCGTATAGCCCTTATCTAGTTTATAGCCCTCATCTAGCTTATGTTTTTAGACAAAACATTACTCCGTAGTTTCTTAATATTAACCTTGTGCTGGCCTACTCTTCCATTCAGTTTGTTGGTTGAGATGAACAATACAAGAGGGGGGTGAATTGTAGTGAGTTCCTATTACTACTGTTTACATAAATTAATTAAATTGTAAAGGAACTTGCAAATGCACACAGATTTTACAAGGAAACCTTCCAGGGCCCAACTGAAAGTAAAACCTCGACTCTTCCTAAGGGATTCCCAAAACCAAGTTACTCCATTATAATAGGGCAATACCAAATTACAACGTATTATAAATAGAACTTACTCACAAGTTCCATAATGAACTTGCTACACAGTAGGACCCTATCCTACCCAATCTAAGTCCAAAACTTAGATTCACTCGTACTCCCAAAGTACACTCACAGCCTCACACTAGAATCTAGTTCTCTGTATGCAAAGTATAGCTTACACACTCACTCAATAACCCAACCAATACAAAATATGTGACCCTAGGATATGCTAAGAAAGTTGTGCATGAAACCCAAAACAAATATGACAAAGATTTAACAAAAGAATAATATTTTTTTGTTAAATGGATCTTGAGAAATAAAATCAGTTAGAAAATCTTTACTTAAAATCTATCTTTTATCTTTTCCGTTTTAATTAGATTTGCCAAGCAACTTGTCACGCTTCTAATAGGTTTCGTGCAAACCCTACTTAACATATTTAACAACCAATCTAGAAGATAAAATCATAACTAAATAAGTTGTTGCGCCGTTTTATTCTGCACTCGAGGATTGCTTGGGCTTCACGCAGACCAGGACCAAATTCCTGTTGTCTTCAAGTTCCTGTTAAGGAACTTAAATAATTCTTGTTAGAGAACTAAGTTACTGTTAGGGAACTCTTCTTTATCTTAATTAACCTTCTTAAAGACTTCTTCTTCACGTTCTTCTTAGTTAAGGTTACTCTTCCACCACCAAGGTCTACTTCACCTGTTCTTAGTCAAACACTAAAAGAAATCTTTAGTTAAGTTTGCTTGAGTTTAAGTCTATCATCATCAAAACATTAAGCTTCAACAAAGTTGATGATGCAATAATATCCAATATATGAATTTTTTGCAGGTAATTTTGAATAAAAAGGTGTGAATTCCAATGGAAGAAACTTGATCTTACTTGAGGGTAGGGGCAATCAGCAGGTATAACATTTTTCCTTATCATGAAAAAATAAAACAGTACTAAAATTTGTAATTTAATCTACAAATGCAATTTAACCTTGAAATGTATTGATTTAAATATAGAAATGTTAATCATATTAAAGGTTATTATAAAATCCTAACAATTAATCAATCATACATATAATATGACATATGCTATACAATTTTCTCTCTCTCTCCTTTAGGTTTTCTGCTCAAAATAATCCCACCTTTTTGAAATCTGGAAACAATCCCACCTTTAATCTCCATCTTCTCAAAACAAGCCCGTTTACCTATTACTTGTTTAGCAGGTTACTTTTTCAATCTCTCTCCTCCTAGCCACATCCGGCCTCCACCTGGACCACTCTTTCCTTGGAAGAGCATCATGACCAGGTCGACCACCATCTCATCATGAATACCACACCACCTTCAAAGCCAACCCCGAAGCCTTAACCCCGTCTTAAAAACACCAACCCATCCCACTTGGTCTGGCAGACTCTCCCCTCACCCAAGTACCCAACCCTTCAAAACGTGAGAGTCATGTTTAATATTTGCATCTTTAGTCAATTTCTCATGAGTTATAATTTAATTTATAATCTCATAACCATGAATAATTGAATATTACTTTTGATTTTTCATTCATTTTTTAAAATTAATTCTTTTTACCATCAATTATTTCCCGCCTCTCACTCGAACCCGACGCTTTTGTTCGTCGATGGGGAAGGGGTTAGGGGTGAGGGTTATTGTTCATTGAAGGGGAAATGTGGTTGGGTTGTACAGGGAAGGAATACTGGGAAAAGGTAAGGGTAAAGGGGAAGTGGCAAGGGATTCCTTATTTTAGCTGGTGGAGTTGGGTCCGGCAAGGGGAATAGGTCCGACAAGTGGATGGGTTCGAAACAGGGAGGGGATCTCTGGCAAGGAAGGTAGTCGGGGAAGAGGGAGGACGAATTGAAGAAGTATTTTTAATTTTTTGTTTTAAATTTTCTTTATATATATTAAAAAACTAATAAGAAGGTGACACACCACGTGTCACCTTCTTAAACAGGTTAATAATTTAACTAACCGGTAAAAGGCTTGTTTTTAGCAGATGGGTGTTAAACGTGACATTGTTTTCACATTTCGAAAAGGTGGGATTATTTTGAGCAGAAATACCAAAGGTGGCATTATTAGTTATAATTTTACCATTTTAAAATCTATAATGTACCAATAACAGAAATGTGGAAGACATACCCAAAGGTTTAGTTTTATGGCTTTAATAATGATTTGTACATTCCAACATATCTTATTTTGGATAACATGTTCTGAAAATGAGAACGGAGGATGAATGTGCATATATTTTCTACTGTATAAAAATAAAACAAAATTTTATGTAAATTATGCACAAAAAAATATGCATAATGAAACTTTGTCAATTTTTTTTGGCACGTTTAGTTTACAAAATATTCAAATTAAGTACAAATTATATGTATAGAAAATTATAAACATAATAAAGTATGTAGTGTAACGATATCATAAATTTTACTGATTTCATTACTAATAGATATAGTGCTTATTTGAAATGCTTGTTAATAAATAGAATGCTTTAAAATATCAAATAACCACATTATCTAATATAAAGATTGCAGCCTGGATAACTTGGCTTGTTATTGTACTATTGTTGATCCTACTACGTACTACTAAATAGTTTAGGTGTTGTAATTGCTTATTTTAGTAGTAGTAATGGAAATATAATGTGATCAATGGGTATTATATCCAATAAAGAAATAGGAGTGAATTACATATAGAATGTAGGGAAAAAAATTGAACTCACAAAACTTCAATCACAAGTTGAAGAAACAAAGCCTATAGTATGTTGGTGAAGATCGAACTCCCACAAATAATTTTGTTGCATGATATTACCAATAACGTTTAAACCTGTGGGTGCCTCAAGAAATCCTATACAACTAACATCTGGGCCGTCATCAACAATATAACTCTTAACAAGTGGTTTGAACCTTGCCCCATCCATAAAATGGATTTCTAACCTTGGTACTTGTTTTTGATTAAATGGTGTGGCGGTGGAGTTAAAGCAATACTCGAAATCTAGCTTACCATCTCCTCGATATTGTTCAATCTTTGGGTGATCCTTTTCAAGAGCTGGGACTAACACATCCATGATGGCTCGATAGGTAGGTTCAGCCCAGTATGTGGCAGCAGTACCTGAGTCAAGGATGGTACCACCATCTGCATCACGATCCCACACAATAGGATCTATACTAAGCATTCGATGGTTTAAGCTGACTCCCTTCACATTGAGCCAATAGTAAGGAGCTGAGTCGCTAACAAGTAAGGCAGTATACCGCATGAACTCTTGTGTTGGTGCCTTTTCTTTATAATCTCCAAAGATAAGATAGTTAGTGACATTTGTAGGGCTAAGGTGGTCGACGAGACAATATGAGAAAGATCCTCCAAACTGGACCACTGCGTGGAGTGAAAAGGCATAGGGGTTGATTCCTAGTCCAAGTACACCATCCGCATGCTTCATTGTGTCCTTGTCTGTAAATGATTCAGAGCATCCAATCAACAAGTTCGGTAGCTTTACTGGTTTACCAGTGGTGGTGGGAAGGGTTGTTATGTCCTTCCCGAACATGCCATATGTCCATAAACCATTATCGCCGTAACTATACAACATTAAAACATTAGAGCTAGTGAGTTTGATTCATTAAAATAAAAATGTTGCATTAAGAAAACAAGGATGCCCCACTTTCTCATGATGGGAAACAAAATTTGTTTCTCACATTTTCTTAAATAAACAAATAACTTTATTCAATTGTTGAGCCTATAATAATTTTTAAAAAAAATTAAAAAAAAATTTGTAGATTTATTCACGAAAATGCCCAATGAAAAACAAATTTCGTTTCTCAAGAAAAATAAGAAATTTTCCTAAGTAAACTAAATTCTACCAAAAAAAAAAAAAATAAAATAAATTCATTTAAAAAAAAAAAACTCAGATATATAGATGGATATATCCATTTATATTGTACGCTTTTTATTAACACAAAAATGCATTATCAAACTGAACAATATGACTTTTATGTTCAGATGGAGTATTAAAGAGACGGCAAGCAATTTGTTAATGGAGGAAGGTAGTAAGGTTATGTGGTTTAACGATATATGAGTTCGTTGGAGCAGGATACAGGCTAAGAAATTACATGGCTTGTTCGTTTGAGAAGGTTTAGAAAGACCAAAACTTGATTGAGTGTATGTCTATTCGTGCAAGTAAGAAAAATAAAAATAAATCAAAATTTTCAATATTAAAAGAGGTGAATAAGAAGAATATATTTGGGCAGCCAATCATAACTTGTCTTGGAAGATTTATTGATTTATTAGGAAAAGGAGTCTTAAATACATGTCATTTGTGTAGAATATACGAGTCACATTATACTTAATTATTTCCCTATTTTTTATAATTATAATAAATTTTTTATTTCAATAAAATTACTATCTACGGGTCATGATAATCTAAACATTATTACTAAGTTTTATAATATTCTTAATAGATACTTTCTCTTTATCTAAATAAGTGCATCAATTGACTTTTCTACTAATTACAAACTAACTTTTCGCTTAATTATTTTCTCTTTTATAAAACCTAAATTTCATTATCCAATTTTAGTTAGATTAGTTCTCATGTATATTTTATTAATATCAATTTTTTATAACTACATTAATCAAGGATATTAATTAAGAAAACTGCGCAATTACAGTTCGTGTACCAATCAAAGTAATGCACTTAAATACATGTTGACTTTTAAACACATTTCACAAAGTATTTGCACAATTGATTATAAAAAAATTTTCTATTTATTGGTGTACATAACCTAATGGTAGTTATTCTTTGCTAGGAGGGTGTAGTATCATTTCTACCTTATATGTGTTGGTAACTTTTTTTTTATTTAACTAGAGTATACCCGGAAAATGCATGGGATACATATTTTTACAGAAAAGTATTGCAAATAATCTTATTATAAAATTAAATTTCAAACACATTAAGTTAAATTTTATATGGTAACTTACTCTTATAAGTGGCTAGTCACACCGTATCGCCATTTATTACGAAGTTGTTTTATCAGTTTTATAGGGGTCATACTTTCATTGTTAAAGAGGTAATCTCGTTAGTGTTATAAGGGTTGCTCCGTTGGTTTTATTAGAGTTACTTTTTTTTCTCAAGCAGCCATACTAGTGGCTTATCATACAGAAAATGTATTGTTTACTTTGTTTTGTTTTGATGGTTATTGAATTAATAATAAGGATATTTTGTGAAAAATACTTTTTAAACTTTGAATTTTGCGAAATACTACCCTATAAAACAAAATGTTGTAATTAACTGCCTTATAAAGTATAAAATGTTGTAATTAACTACCTTATAAAGTATAAAATGTTGTAATTGACTACCTCCCACCGGAATAACACATTTGATTTTTATTTTCCGGTGTTGACCATGTAATGTGAGGGTCACATGACCCTTTAATGACTTAATTCCCCCCTCTATCCCAAATTTTCCCGCTTTATACCAACAATTTTCTAAACAATAAGATTATTCATATTTTATATTGTTTATTTGCAACCCCTTTAATAATTATATGGGCTGAATTGGTGTAAAACGGGAAAATTTGGGGAAAAGAGGGGAATTAAGTCATTAAAGGGTCACGTGACATGGTCAATGTTGGAAACTAAAAGTCAAATGTGTCAGTTCGGTAAAAGGTAGTCAATTACAACGTTTTATATTTTATAAGGTAGTTAATAACAATATTTTGTTTTTAGGGTTTTTCGCAAAATCGGGAGTTTAAAAGATAGTTTTTCACAAAAAAAAAAAAAAAAATCAACAATAAAATAGTTATCGATGGTTTTTGAAATATTAGTCAATGTGCATACACGAGCTAATGCACGAATTATATTATATGCAAAGGAAAACATTACAAAGTGAAATGTTGGTTGTTATTGGAATTCCTTGAAAAAAATACAAAAAATACAAAAAAAAAAATTATATTTGGTTTGCCATAGGGGGTAACTTAGTTGGTCAAAAGTTAATCAGTAAGGGATTACTTAATCAGGGGTACTCGTCCGGTCAGGAATTGTTGTGTTACGGGTTACTCAATCAAGGGTTATTCAATCAGTTAGGGGTTAATCAGTTTCGGGATATTCGGTCAATTAAGGGTAACTCATTCAGTTAGGGGTTACTTAGTTAAGAGTTACTCAGTCGGATAGGGGTTACTCGGTCAAAGGTTACTCCGATAGGATTACTTTTTAGTGTTTTTCGTGTTTCAATCGGTTACACGGTGTGGCCAGCAACAGTGAAAATGTGCTATATTGATTTTGATAATTATTGAATTAATAAAAAAAGTTGTTATTAAGTAATTTATAAAAATATAAAAAGAAAAAAATTCTTATTTTTATACAGGAAAATAGTGGATCTAATGGTCGTTGGTTTTTTTTTTTTTTTAAATGAACTACACATAATTTAAAGATTGATTTTCAAGTTTTAAGTGTAATAGTTAGGAAAAAATGTACAATAATAACATAAATTCCTTGTAATTTTAGGGTTTCTAAAAAGCAAAGTTTTTAGATAATATATAAAGGTAAGGAAGGTAAATTTGTGTTTATTATGTATGTTTTGAGGAAAAATAATACAAAAAGTACCTAGAAGTGGAAATTATTTGGAGATTAAGTTTTTTTTTTATTTTTTTTTTTATTTTTTTTTGGTAATTTTCGGGTTTCTAAAAACCATATTATTGGATGATATTTATAAAATTAGGTAAATTATTGTATTTTTATTTAATGGATAGTATGTGTGTTGTTAGGAAAAATATTAAAATAGAAGTAGTGGAAGTGGAAGTGTATTTGGAAATTTAGTTTATTTTTTTTATTCTATAATTTTTGGGTTTCTAAAAAGAAATTCATTGTATGATATATTAAAATAGTTAATTTTTTAGTATTATTGAAAAATATGTATGTTTTTAGGAAAAATAATAAACACATTAGAAGTGGAAGTGTTGTGGAGATTTAGTTTGCGTTAAAAAAATAATCTTATATATATATATATATATATACATACATATATATGAGATCATGTGAGAACCAAGGTGAATAATAGGAACTAAGAACCAATCTCAGCCATTGATTTCACTTAATCTGATGGCTTACGTTTCACCCGCATTCGTTAATGACATTTTCGCAATTATGCGTTTTTTGCAACTTTTTTCCAGTTTTTAAACTTTTAAGGCAATTTCATTTACTTTATGACCGATTTCATTTACTTTTACTAAATTTTCATTTACTTTTTAGAAATGAAACTGGGAATTAGTTTATAACATTCAAATATTACAAAAATGCTATTAATGATACGGGAAGCATGTGAGCCGTCGGATTAACATGATCTAAGGGCCTAGATTAGTTCCTAGTTCTTATTTTAGCCTTGGTTCTCATTATAACTTGGTTATATATATATATATATATATATATATATATATATATATATATATATATATATATATATATATATATATATATATATATATTACAAAAATGCCATTAATGACACGGGAAGCATGTGAGCCGTCGGATTAACATGATCTAAGGGCCTAAATTAGTTCCTAGTTCTTATTTTAGCCTTGGTTCTCATTATAACTTGGTTATATTTTTATCATATAATTAATATATAAAGCTAAACTTTTAGCCAGGTCACGAGACAACGACACTTGGCATTCAAACTTTTCACCAAGTGTCTCGCCACGTTGGATGTACTTAGATAGACTTCATAAGATAAATTAATTAGTTTTAATACAATTTGGATGAAATTTTAGAATAAAATTGTATGTTGAGAGTTTTATTTTCGGAAAAATACTAATATTTCATAGGCATAAATTGAATTATAATTTTATTCCAAAAAAATATTAGATTATAACTCAAAAATATTTCATATGTATAAATTGAATTATATTTTATTCAAAAAATTATTAGATTATAAATCTACAAAAAATACCAATATTTTTTTTTTGGTGTTTAGAGAACCCATAAGGGTAGGGGTGAGAATCGATCCCAAGACCTCCTAGGTCGGGAGGGAAACTCAAACTACTTAAGCTATCCCTCACTCTCATAAAATACCAATATTATTATTAGTCATTTATTACATGCCTACTACATAGTTTAAATCGTTACAAAAGCACATCAATTCCTACCTAATTTCATATTAAAGGTATATTTTAAAATTTGACATATACATTAAAAATTTATTTCAAAATTTAAAAAATAACCCGGACATCGCACGGCGTACAAAACCAGTATATATCTATATAAAGGAGTTTTTTCCCCGAGTTTTTATAGAGCCACGTAGAATTTTGCTATTTTTTTTAAAAAATATATAGAGTGCCACATAGAATTATGATTTTCGCTATGTAGGATTAAAATGTGCTATGTAGGATTGGAATTTGATGTGTGCCATATAGGATAAAAACTATTAAAATATTAAAATTTTAAAAGTTAAATATAACAATCCAATTCATCAAATTGATCTTACATGATGCCACAAAATAATAAAAAAAAAAAAAAAAAATTATCCTACATGCATATTAATATTTATCATAATTAAAAAAAAATTAAAAAATATGTTGATCCTACATACATATTAATGTTTATCATAATTAAAAAAAATTTAATAAAATTTTAAAAAATATGTTGATCCTACGTTATTTCTACACAAAAAAAAAGTTAAATAAATAAATAAATTATAAAATTAATCCTTTTTTAAAAAATAATCCTTATCACCTATGTGCATATGATTATTATTTCTAAGGAAAAAAAAAACTTAATTAGGAAAAAGATAATAATGATTACATTTTTAATAATGATAAAATTTAAGTTAGGAAAAAGATACGAATCGTTTTAATTAGCATATGATTTGTTATTATTATATATGAAAAAAAACAATAGGCCAAGTGAAGCCACGTATGATTTAATTTTTTTAGCGCGCCATATAGGATTATAAATTTAATTTGTAGCCAATTAAATAAGAGATTATTAATTTCTTTTACAATTAAATAATTCAAATGTTACATAAGAAAAATTGACGAATGAAATTTTAAAGTTTAAATTAATTAAACAAATATTATCTTTTGTAATTATGAATTATATGTAATATTTTAAGACTAATATAATAACAATTTTAATAACATAAATATAAAAAATATTTTTTTAAAAAATACTAACAAAATATGCATCGCACGGGGTTGTTCTAGTTGTAGTTTATTTGGGATCAATTAGTTAAAATTGTAGGGGGGGGGGGTAATTTTTAGTGGTAAAAATAACTATACACATATATAAATTTAAATATATGAATTACTTTGGGATGTAATTGTATAAAAGCAATTTTAAACCAATAAAGATATTTTTAAGCTTCCCTCAAAAATAATTTCATAAAAGTAATTTAAGTAGAACATCAATGTAAAAATTTTCCCTATTTTATACACATTAAAGTTCAGTTTAATGAATTTATTTTTTTCCCCCTTAATATGATACCTTAGCTTCTTTTATGTAATGTAAAGACAAATTTCTATGTTTTCATGTTATAGAATTGTTACGAGTTAAAAGTGACATATATGGAGATTACCTGTAATTATAAAGGCATGGAGCATTGACATTGGGACAAACGTCAAGAGACGAAAGAGAAGTGAATTCTTCTTTACACAAAGCAGACTCGCAAGAGATAGGTTTATAGGTTAAAGACTTGTCAACATTAAGAGCTTCGTTGTTAGAAAAGTTTCGACGATTTTCTTTCTTGCACTTAACCCATGTAAGGTCACTCCCAGTATCAACCACTAAACGCAATTTTGTTGGAGGGTTTCCAACGTCGATATCTACCACATATTCACCCATTTCATATTCTGCTGCCGCATACATTGGTAATTTAACCGAACCTTGTATGGTGCTTTTCAATGGTGCTTCTCGTTCTTCTATAGGAATATCTTCTTCATATGTTAATTTCCTTGAATGGGTTGTTGACAACCTTAACTTGGCCTTGTGGGATATCCCTCTATACCGGATAATGTCGTGCTTTATTACCTTCTGAAGTCGCCTATGCCTTCCTTGACTAATTGATGAATCTGCTAATATTATGGAAAATGTGGTAGAAAACACCATTATTACAATAAAAAGGACATGAAATTTGGGAATTGTTTTAAGAAACATTTTGAATTATTTTTTAATAAATAATTTTTGTTTGATTCTGTCCCCCCCTAATTGAATTGAAAATAAGAGTTTTTAATCAATCATTCTTAGTTGGGTAAGAGGTAATGCATAAAAGAATAAAAAAAATCGTCGTATTGAAAAAGAGGTATTTTTTGAGGGGGATAAAAGTAAAAAAAAAAAATATTCAAAAAAACAAAGGTGAAATTATAACAATTTTTTGCTCTCTTTGGAAGGCCATTGTGGCCTAAGTTTTCTTCTCATCATTCTCTCTCCTCTATTGAAGGTTACCTCATCAGGGATTAAAGTTTTTTGCACGATACAAGGCGGATTTTGAGTAAATGAGTTTTAGCTTTTTATCTAAATTAAATGGAGAGCCTATAATTTAGTTTTAGTAGGAAATTTGTTTTTGGTCATTAAAAAAAGCATCATGTTATCCTTAACAATTGCTTTCTATATATCAATGATTTTACTATTTTATAGCATGTTTTAGTATAATCATAATTTTTTTTCCATGGCTGTAATCTTGCTCTATGTGGCCTATCATTTGTTAATAAAATTGAAATTATCTTTTTCAAAATGCAAATTAATGAAATTTGCATATATTATACTAAGACTTTCCCTAAATACATTTAGTATGTCCATTGATTGTATAAAAACAATACTCCCCCCGTTTCATAATGTTAGTCCCATATGAAATTAATCACATAAAATAAGAAAAGAAATATATTTGGAATCTAACATTAAAATACAACATAATTCATAATTAGTTTACCTTATTTAACTTTTTTGATTTTTTATTAGGAAAGCATAAGTCATAATTACATAATTTAAGATAAATATTTCCTTACCTAGCTAGAGTCATGTCATCAATCCACAACCAAATAATTCCATAAAAAAACAAGTTATAAATGAACTATATTCAATATGGGTACATCTTTTTGAAACGCCCAAAATAGTATATGAGACTAACATTATGAAACGAAGGGAGTAATATAATTTGAAAGTAATAAGATTGGCTAACTATATTCTACATCATGTAATACATATACATGTATTTATGTAAGTATGAAGTATGTGATTATGTTTATATCTTGATTATTGGACTAAAAATCTAAATTATTGTTATCAACTAGCAAATTGCGGTAAAAAAAAAAAAAAAACAAAAAAAAACAAAAAAAAAAAAAAACTAGCAACTTACCCTTTTTTTTTTTTTTTTTTTTTTTTTGGAACTAGAAACTTACTCCGTACTTTGTTACAAACATGTAATCATTATTGTATAATTGTGCCTATTGTTGTTAGCTTGTCGGTACTTTGGGAAAATGATTGGAAGATCTTTGTCTAGGTATACTATATGCGATTATGCGGTTAGTTTTGCATGAATGGTTTACTAAAAGGGCGTCATGAGTGGGTCTCATCTTACTTATTAAAGATGTATGCATGCAAGCTCAAGTTTAATGCTAGCTCATCGAAAGTGGGTTACCTCCGTAATATTTAGCCTATTTTAAGCTTGCCAAATACTAATAGTTTGAGGTAAATCTGACTTTTGATAGTATTATAAAAAGATAGATGTTATTATAGATGAAATATTTTCAGCTTTACATTATATGTATACTTATTTGGGGTTTTTGAGGCTAGCATTTGAACTAATACAGATGCAGCAATGCTATGGAGTACTTCATTGCTAGAGTTTGATTCTGTTCAGATTTGTACTTTTAGTTCACAAGGAGCGGTGTTTGATCACCCGGAAGTGTGAATTTCGTGGAAATAATTTGTTCAAAGTATAAATGATGAAAGATAGTAAAGTCAAAGGGTGGCGAAAGATTTTTGTGGTCTTCCAACATACATAAGTTCCTTGTTGAAGACACAAACATACAACTCCAGGTGTTTTGGGTGTTTTTCTCCCTCGGGAGAATTACGTCACAAAGATTGGTCCGGCTGAGTTGTACCTGCAAAAACAACGGAGACTCCGAGTGGTGGGAGCTCCGCCTCCGAAGATCAAGTAATTAACTTGAAAGAAAATAAAGAGTGCGGAAATTTAGGTTGGGATCTACTTGGATTTCAAGCTCAGGTGTGTCTCTGATGAGAAAGAAAGTAGGTGTAATAAATGATTGAATGTGTCCCCATAATGGGGCAATATCTCCCTATTTATAGGGTCATTGGTAGGTGTGCCCCTATCTAGGTCACCTAACCTAGATTTTAGTGGGCTGCGCTGAATTATGGCGCTTCATGGGATTTGGGCCCTTGAAGGCCGCCATTTCATAATCTATTTGAAGGGGCCACGTGTCAGGTGGCTAGGGGGCCACTTGGGTCAGCCTGAACTTGACACGTGGCCTTCTCTTATTGGGACACCTGTCTAGGGTAATTTTTACCCTAAACATTTGCCCCTCACAGAGGTCATGTGGGGCCTGTGACACGTGTTCGCCTATCAAAGGTGAACAGTAACAACGACTAGTAAAATTTAAAATTCAAACTGGGATGCCCCCGTTTTTCACTTTCTATAAATAGAAGTTTACCCCCTCCTCTTCCTTCTCTCACTTCATTTTCATTTGACTTTCTAGAGAGAGAAAGATTTTTTAAAGAGAGATTCTCTGCTTCCATTTGCATCAAATTCTCAAGATTTCCGCGTGCTAACTTTGCAACACCTGGTCACCGTCTGTAGCAGTTTTCAGAGTTTCCAGAGTTAAACGTAAGGTAACCGCCTGTACCATTCTTAGCTTTTCCTTTTCAACTTGTATACATTCTTTTTTCCATCTGTATACATAGTGTGGGGAATATTTCAAGCATTAATCCCCTAACTTGAACCCCACTGTGATCATACACTAAAGTACAGTGGCGTCCAAAGGGAAAGAAGATAGAGCAAAAGAGTCGCCAACAAGTTTTTTAGGAACTTGTAAACCGTTCACGAGGTGAAGGTTACACCCCTTAACGATCTAAGAGATCGTCAACTCCATAAGGTCTTGAACCAAATAGGGTTCGGGGAAGAAGGTACAAATCCAACCTAAAAGAGATTGAACCTGCACTAATAATAGGCCTCTAATTTATTCTAATCGTATTCATGTGCGCTTTCTGACTAACATGCAATCAATAGGATTAACCCTAAACCTGTTTATCTATGTTGGTTGAATATTAATGCACAAATAAATCTATTATTGGCGATCACTTGAATTATAATCAAATTAACCCTAAATAAGATTATTAATTATCTTATATAAGCGTGATTACAAATACAAATTCCCTTTAAACATGCATAAAAGGGTGTGATCAAGCAATAACAATAAATATCTAGCAACATAATAATAATCATAAAAATAATAATCATCATAATAATAATAATAATCAAAACAATAATAATAATAATAATAATAATAATAATAATAATAATAATAATAATAATAATTAACAATTATAATCATAATAATAATATTTAAAACAATCATAATTATAATAATAATCATAATTAAAATAATCATGTTAAAGCATAATAATAGCAAAATCCTAGGCATGATACTAACAAGATTAATAACAAACCCTAGCATGTCACTAAACAATAAAAATCAAATTTTTAACCCTAACATGATACTAGCAATCATAAATATTAGGAAGAACATAGGAATCATCATACTTTTAATCATACTTATTATTAAAATTACCCTAGACATGATACTAGGAATTAAAATAACAACCTAAGCATGAACTCTATATCACAACATCAATAAAAACCATTAAAGTACTTACTTTGATGCCTCGTACCTCTTTCTAATAACAAAATACGTACGTTAGTAACTTCAAGGAAAATAATAAAACAAACAATTAAATTAAATAATTGAAAGAGAGATTTGGGACCAAACCCTCAGAAATTAAACCTTTCACGTCTAGGGCGAAGGCAACTTTGAATATGGCTAGGTGTATCTAAATCTTGCGAATGCGAAATTTTGTATGTAAAAAGCTAATTTAGAAATGAGAGAGAGAGAGAATAATCAAGAGAATCTTGACGAGAGTTGGTGAAAGAGAGAATAAGAATTGATGAGAATTGATGATTGTTGGTGAATTAAAACGGAGTTTTTACGAAGTTATTTATAGAGAAAATCAGTCGAAAAGATAAAATATCAAAACAGAGTTCTAGCGCAGATAAAACTGGATTGGCGCCAACGCTAGCTATTGGCGCCAGACGCTGACCTTAGCGCCAGGCGCCAGACGCTACAACTGGCGTTTGGCGCTGATCTGAAAATTCACGCGTTTTCTTAAAATCAGATAAAAAATGTCGTACAAAATGATAAAATCGTATTTTCCTCTAAAATTCTCTTTGATTCTAGTTAAAACTCTGAAAAGTCAAAAAAAGTCAATGGATTAGCTGTTTTCTTAAAATAAGTTTTCAAAAACAGAGAGAAGAGAAAAGAAATTAAAACTATCCGCAACACTAGACTTTCCACACTTTTACTTCATTCGATTATGATTCGACGCGAAAGATAATCATCACTGGGTTTGTTTTTGGGGAGACACAAATGGGTGTCTATAGAAGCCCCCACTTTGACTGAGTTTGGAGAAACGCATGTTTCGAAAACAAAAGTCAAAGTATCGATAGGGTCGGAGAATGATTCAGAACGTTCTGCGATCCTAAATCACTCTTGCAACGCCGATACCTGCAAACTAGCTCTAGTTAAACAGATAAAAGAGTTAAGAAACACATATCTTGCACCGTCGAGCACATGACTCTAAAGGTAATTGATTTGCTGTCGCTTTGCTGTCATTGTTTTGATGACCTCCTGCTAAGAGAATGCCATCCCGCTTGAAAACCGCTACGCTTGTAGCTGCTTCCAATATAAAAGATTGCTTCGCTTGAAACGATCCTCTCCCGCTTTGATAATATTCCAAGTCTAAGGGAACACTATCGAAGATTGCTTTGCTTGAAACAATCCTCTTCCGCATTGATAATATTCCACGTCCAAGGGAACTTGATCGAAGACAACTTTGCTTGAAGTCACCTTCAGTTGTTTGTGACAACTCTCCACAATCTAGGGAACGCCATCTTGCTGTTTCGATGTTCACTCGTCTTTGAACAAAGAGCTTCTTTTTTATATTCTTGGGATATGTCCACGCGCCTCTGAACAAACAGCTTCTTTATTTTTTTTTGGATATGTCCACGCGTCTCTGAACAAAGAGATTCTTTTTAATATGTCCACGCGGCTCTGAACAATAGAGCTTGAAATACATGTTCACGCGTCTCAGAACAATAGAGCTTTTGATAATATGAATTTCTGAATGATGTGTCCACACTTCTCTGAACAATAGAGCTTTGATGGAATGTCCACGTGTCTCTTAACAAAAGAGCTTAAAAATAGGATGCCCACGCGTCTCTGAGCAAAGAGCTTGAAAGGAATGTCCACGCGTCTCTGAACAAAAGAGCTTTGATGATATGCCCACGTGTCTCTAGAGCAAAAGAGCTTGATGGAAATGTTCACGCGTCTATGATCAAAAGGAGCTTTGAATGATATGTCCACGCGTCTCTAAAGAAAAGAGCTCAGAAGAAATGTCCACGCGTCTCTGAACAATAGAGATTGAAATACATGTCCACGCGTCTCTGAACAATAGATCTTGAAATACATGTCCACGCGTCTCTGAACAATAGAGCTTGAATGATATGTCCACGCGTCTCTGAACAAAAGATCTTCGATGATTGAATGTTTGTTGCGATAATATTCCGAAGAAAAATTTCCGAAGACCAACGCTTGCCGAT